TGTGTTCTAATGTCGTATCGTTCTATTTGTACCCCTACAGACTGAAGTACCAGCATGTATATATTGACAAGGTTATTTTCAGGTTGTTTCCATCACATATTCTAGCTTATATAAAAAAAAGTTACATCCTATAAACCCAGGGTTTGTTCTCTTATCTAGAACAAACGTCTGAAGTGAATTTGGGGACACAAAGCATTTGAATAAACAAATATTTTGGTGTTGAATGGCTATGCTTCAGGCCAGCTTTAAGCTTTAATCACCATATTTGTATGTGAGACCACAAGGTGTGGTGCCATAAACAAAGAAATCTGACAAAACTCAAAGTTCTCTCCCATCATTAATGTCTAAATTTTGAAGCTCATGTCTTTGGTGGAGATGCGTGATGCTTGGCAGAGTCCCACTCTATGGGACCCACCAGCGTCACAATGACAGATGGCAGGGGAATGCAGCTGTGACTAAGGAGCTGAGGAAGTGGCAATACAGATTTTAAACCCTGACGTTGACATTGCTTCAAGATGCAAGTTATGGGAGTGGAAGAAGAAATTTGGCAAACATCAGTCTCAGTCATGTACCGTGTAAACAAATATCTGTGTAAGAGAGTTTGTGATGTATATCCAGTATCTGATGATCAGGAAACTTGACAAATCTTCCTAATTTTCCTGAAAAGCTACTTTAGCTAGTTATTTCACATACACACACAAAAAAAAACTCAAGGACAGTTCCAGGCACCTCGACCTTGATGATTTGCTTTTTGGCAGAAGGTAGAATTCAGAATAATCAGGTATCACATTTGGATTCCAACTCAGGAGCCTAGTTTGTGAAATGAGTTGGCATTTGTAAAAAGGCAGACACAGACTGATGGAGTCGCTCTGAGGCTTCTGAGGGAAATCCTCATTTCTTCTCCTGGAGCTTAAAACTAGCATGTGTGGTGAAAGGAGTGGGAGCACAGAGGTAAAACGGAACCATCTGGATGTGGGAATTTGCTGACAATGGTATTTACCATGTGCCATTGTAACTAAGCTGGCATGAGCTTTTTTTATTTATATACAGGGAATGACTGTGAATCATCATTATAAGCTGGTTACATTTTGAGTAAATTGGGTTTATATTAATTTGATTTGAATAATGAGCAGGAAAAATGACAAATTAAAATAGATGGATTTGCAAAATTATTACAATTCACCAATGATAAATTAAAATTTAGTCAAATGATACTTATTTGTCTTTTTGTGTTTTGTTCTTTAGGAGTATACTAAAACACATCTGAAATGTTTTAAACTAATTGCTCTTCTCACTTTATAAAAGGTTTAGGCAGGTCAACAGTGATGAAGATGGTGGTTAGCATTATTGTTTTCTGCTGGAGATAAATGCAGGCAGACCTGTCTTGTCTTGTCCATTTACCTATTGCTGTATACTTATTCAAATCAAGACTGAAAATTGTAGCTTTCATTAGAATTGCTTTTTCTCTGGAAATAATCTAATTTGTAATTTAGTTTGCTGAAGATTGTCACTGAAGACAACATGTTGTAAAAGCAAGTCCCAAGAGGTGCATATTTAGGAGACTTCAGAGCAAAAAGATCTAATGGTGACATTATTCAGTAAAAATGCCAGTAAAATATAGTGTAGCATTTATTTAGTTTAGGTTTTTGTTTATGTGTATTTATGTTCTTCCCTCCTGCCAGAATAGGTCAAATCTCATTCACAGTCCAAGGGGTCACTTATTGACTTGATTCATCCCCTCTGACTAGACTCATACAGAATGGAGGCTTAACAAGATTACTGTTATATATGGCAGCCGTAATGGGAACCTCTCTGGAGGTTGTGGTGCTGCTGATTTGTGTCCCACTATCCAGATTTGAGCAGAAATGCCTACATTCAGCACACGGCCTCCCTCCACCAGGGAAGTCCTGATATATTATAGCTGCAGCGGATCAATCAATCTACCCACTCCCAGCCTTTACATCTCTCCACCTGCTGCCTGCCGGGACAGTGATTCCTCAGAGGACTGTGCTGGGGGGCTGCACTCTTAGTCTGCACTCCACATGCACATGCCTGTCCACCTCCACCACTGGTTAGAGAAGTAACAAACTGAATGGGCCACTCTCAGACACATTCTCGTGTCCCTGCTGTGCATATATGTGAGACCTAAATCCAATTGTTCAACAGATTGCTTCTCTCCAGTGTGCTGCTAGTCAGGTCAGTTTAAAATGGAGGAGCTAAGTATTGAGGGAAGTTTAACAAAGAAGGGTAGTATTAGAAACTGCGGCACCGCCACACTTGTTTTGATTAATGGACCTCTCTCTGCCGCTGAATGACGAATTATCAGAAGGCTGGAGGGCTCGTTCATCACTGTCAGCTGAGCTCTGCTAGTGTTGTGTCTCCAGTCCACTAAACAGCCACGCTACCATCTCACCCTTATCACTCCCACCTGGTCCTGGAGATTTGCAAGGAGAGGCGGAGTTGAGAAGGAGGAGGCAGAAAACCCAGAGGGGACACATGTAAGACATTGGAGTTTGGTGGTGATGGTGTTCTTCATTCTGCTGGTAGCCATTGTAGAATAGAAGGCTGTATCTATCTGCAGAAACACCACAGGGTTAACCAGAATTACTAAATGAAAAAAAACAAAACAAAACAAACAAACCTTCAAACAGGTTTGATCATTCACCAGACACTGTCACATGACTAAAGTTAATTTGGAGAAAGTGGGGGAGGGGCTGATAAGAGTCCTTATGTTTGAATAAGTGAATCTCAGATAGCAGGATTTTGTTTTGTATCTTCAGCCTCAGGCTCAGCCTGGTCTCTAATTAAGCAGGTAGAAAGCAATTTAGCAACGGGAATCTTATCTTTGCAATTGCCAGGCGTGAGAGATAATATTCAGAGGCATAAATGCTAATTAATTACCAAGAGTGTTTTTACTGCAAAAAAGCTTCTCAGCCGCTGCATGTTGTGATGGACATCACAGGGGTACAGATGGAGACACAAGCTGCTGCTCGCACACACACACACACAGCCAGATATTTGTTCAAGTATCTCTGTGGTAACTTGGCATCATTAACATAATACACTGCCCATCACATTACCTTAATTCAAACCATCATAGCTGAATGCCTCACCATAACCATCACCCAGACATCAAGTTAATTCAAATCCACCCCTACTTTCATAAATGATTTCATCCAGTATTTCTTCCCCTACAAAGCTGTAGAGCTGTCATACATTGGCACAAGTCTCATTTTATATTTTACAGCCTGTCTCCTCCTTAATGCGTTCTCTCTCTCACCTGTATATTTATGCACTCACTCCCTACCTGGACCCTCACTCACCCCCACATGAGAAAAACAACGGAGTTGCTTTTCAGCTGCCATGCCAGACAGCAGAACACAGACTACAGAACAAGTGGAGCCAGTGATGGATGGAACATGGACAGCTGTCAACACACAGGGAGGATGGTGGCGGCCTTGAGTACGGGGAGGCGGAGCTGCAACTGATTCCCAGGTCTTATTTGTGTCAACAGGCGGCAACAAGTGGCACTCAATTAGGACGCTTTATTGACTAGGCTAGCTGGTCCGTGTCAGATGTCCGCTGGTGACACGGCCTAATGTCCAACAGAGACACTTGGTTCGAGATTACAGAAAATGGCAAAATCAAACAAAGATTGCTGTAGGAGAGAAAACAAATAAAAGGAGGAGAAGGTATTTGTTGAGAAATACATAGCGGAGAGAGAAGGAGGAGATTAGGGGAGATCAAAGATTGAAGTCTGTACCAGCCCTTTGAGACGTTTCTTCATACTTTTGTCTAGTATGTGTAGCCTACAGTGTAACATTAGTGATATTGAAAAAGAGACCAGATTGACAAATGGGAGAAGTAATTGGCAACTTTTACTTCTTATGTTGATTCTTGCCACTAGATACAGAAATTCCTTCTCACCACATTTCTTTAGAGTGAAATCCTCTAACGGTTTGTTTTTCATCCGTTTTTCCTGCGGTTTATTTGGTCTTTTGTTTCATTTCAAATGTCACTGCATCATCTGCATTGGGAAAACACACAGAGCCACCAACCGAGTTGTCTTTATAAAAAGTAATTGGTTCCAAGATGTTGTTTGAAGTGACATTTTTTGATGCATCTATGCCTCCTTTTTTCCAGCCATCTATTAAAAGTGTCTCAAACAGCTTAAAAGAAAAAAAAAACAACCTATTAATAACCTGCAACAGAAATAGTGATAGCAATGAAAACTCTGAAATGTTTTGGTGCAGAGAAAAATGCTTCACAGCTTTTAGTCGACTACTTATTTAAAAAAAAAAAAAAAATTCTCCAAACACTATAGTTAATAAAAACTGTAACTGTCGTTTTAGAGACAACCTCCCTGTTTATAAATTGTATAGTTGACTCTCAATGTCATACTAAAGGTTGATTATAACTTTCATTTTATATGTAGCTTTGAAGCTAAGCCACTGTAGCTACTGCATTAATAAATGATACCTGTGTCATAAAATACAATTTAATGCCCCCAAATATAATCAATCATACAGTAGTACAGGGTCCCTTCAACTTCATCCTCTAAAGTTCACGCTATAAGGTACTCTGGACTTTGTATTTCTTAATCATAACTTTGGAAGCTGTATTGCTGCCATTCGTTTACTTTTTGTCAAGTTTAATTACCAATAGGACATCTAATGTGTAGCTGTGTCAGGCCTTGGCTGATTAATGAAGCACTTGGTTGTTAAAGTATCTGTTGTATATTCTTGTCAACTCATCGGGGATATATATATATATATATATATATATATATATATAATCTTATTTGGATGGTTTGTGTATGGAATCTTGTATTTGGGAATTGTCAGTTTCCCTAGTTTGTGTTGTTTTTAGGGATTAATTCTAGCACTGATAGGATTCTTACATGGTCTGTAAGGTTCAGTACAACAAGGAAACACGTATTAGGGTGGTCATGCTGCATAAAACCCAGTGTGTGTGTGTGTGTGGGGGGGGGTGAAAAGTTACATGACTATTATTAAGGAGGCCACCCTGGGAATTTCACCCAGGGAACTGCTCAAACACAAGGCACAAAGGTTTGTGGTTACTGGAGGGCAAGAGACGTGGTTCAAAGTTTGAAAATACAAATTTTATTCAACATTTGATTTTAAAAAGTATACTCCATAAAACTCATTCACATAAAATAAAATAAAAACCTAATCAGGGCTGAGGCCGAAGTGGATGGGCAAGGGCTAGTGCAGGGGTCAGATCCTCCAACATAAGGCAAAAATAACTTAAATCACCAGGCACAAGTGGCAAACACACCCTCAGTGAAGAAACCCACCACCAGGTCACCAGCACCGCCACCACCGGCCTACAGCAACTGAAAAGGAAAAAGACTAGCACATCAGTTGGGTAGTCCCCAATAAAATAAAATAAAAAATGCTTATGCATAGGACCGCGGTGTACGGCCGAACAATCGTCCTGCACAGCGTGTATCTTGGAAGTCGTTAAGCCGCTGACGGCCGCAGAAGAACGCCGTAGGCAGCAACAAATATACAGCAATACAGTGAAAACAGCACAAAATAACACCAAACAAAGCAGCACAAAATAACAAAAAAAAAAAAAAAAAAAAAAAACAAAAAAAAAGCAGCAGCTACCCAATGAGGTGCTTACAACACATAGTCAACAGGAAAACACTATTAGCATGTGCTAGATGCACTAAGATTGATGCAGTGGCACGTAACGATGTGCATACCTTCTCAGAACACACACTCACGAGGAGGAAGGTTTGGACTCCAGCCGCCAGCATTCACCTGTGACCAGACCAGCATTACCTACCTAGCAGCACCAAGAACAACGCCGAGAGAAACAACACTTACCACCGGCCAACGACCACAGCAGCACACACGGTGCACGGAGCAGCACACAAACTGTCGTCCTACAACAACAATTACAAATAACTTAAGTATAAGAACAAACAAAACGACGAGCGAGGTGAAGCAGCGGGCGGCCATACCTGTCTGGCACCCGACCTCTGACCCGGAAGTAACGCGGGTGACGATGAGAGCGCAGAGGAAGATCCGGTGGGCGGACTACCGTTTTTATACCGGCTCTCTCAACGACTGGCGGAAGTGGGGAAGGGAAACCATAGCAACAGTCTACAGAAAGACCGAGGGGAAAAAACAAGACAAAAACGCTCGTACTGCTACACCAAGATAAATCAAAATGCTGGCTCCATCTGTAGCAGTGCCTCTAGTGATGATTGATTTGATTAGTCAGTGATTTTGCTTTGTGTTGTTTGTGACACTGCTTTTAATATCTTTTTTTTAAGTACATGACACCCATTGTCATATGTTATAGACAAAGCCATTATATTTGTTTAAAAATATATATAAAATAAATCATAAAATAGAGACCTCCGCTGTATCTATAGACACAGGAGCATACAGCATGTGCACAATCTACACTCTTTTGATTCTAGTTTGGTCAAATGCTGCAGCAAGACTCTTGTAATGTTGTGCTAAATCTTGTTTGATTTTTTTTTTTTACAGGAAGAAACGAAAATGTTGAAATGGTATATTAAGTGTTTTAAAAAGTTGGTACTTGGTCTAAAATAACCAAAGTATTGATCCATGGAGAACCACTTTAGGACCTGTGTTTTGAACGTCCACTCACAGCCTACGGCTGTCGTGTTGTAACCTAACCCTGCATGTTGATTGCAAAATAGTATCTGATGTACCAACCCACTGACACCTTCAGGCCAATGAACAACAAGTTTAGTTATTTCTTTCACTGTCTTCCTTTCTTTCAGCTTTGTTACATCTACGTAGAAAATTAGTAAGAACCATCAGAGATTAATGGCAGAAGTCCAGCCAGCACTGTCTTTTAGTCTAAATATTCAGCTTCTTAGCTGTGACTTTGATTAAAGAATATCTTTCTTTCGCTAGGAAACCTCATGAACATGTGAACACACTCTTGTTTTTCAATACTCAGCCTTGTTATCTCTAACATCAGTCCAAAGCCTTGAATAAATTGTCACATGACTGTTTGTTTCTTACAGTTTTTGGTGATTGTTTATTGATTTGTTGACTTGTGTGTGTTTCCGCATAATGAACAGGACAGCTTCTCTGTTTGACTTCTGCTAAAATTCTGTATTGGGCCATGCGTTTTTTAGAAAGCAGAATATGTTAATTTTCAGTTGTTGGATGAATATAAATGCAGTGTTTACTCTTTGCTCTTGACCAAAATACAGGAACTTAGGAATTACAGGAATTTAAATTATGTGATGAGCAGACAAGGAAAACATATTGTGTAAAATTCTATATTTCAACATGAATTATTTAGGTCTGTCAAACAATACATTTTTAAAAATCTGATTAATAATAGATTAGCAGTGGACTTATCATGAGCTAAATAATCATGATTAATCATGCTGATGGAGAGACACAGCTCATTTCTTCTGATATACAGTATCTATAATGCAGTCAGTGCTGGACACATGAGTTCATTTCAGTATTTTACTCCAAACTACTCCCATTCCTCTGTGTCAAAGTTAAAGTAAAACAAAACCCTGAGGTTTTGAATTGGGAGCAATCCAGACATCCAGGCTGGATTTGAATAGGGAGTAATTCTTTGAGAGAATTATGCAAACAATTTAGCTGTGAGCTACGTGCACAGGTCACAAATAAGCAATTTCTACAGCCAAGTGAAGATCTGCTTGCCAAGCACAACTAATTGTTTGTAGAGTACGGCCAATGTGTTCAAATGATTTATTGTAATGAGAAAGATGACAAATATGCTACTGTCAAACTGTGTGTCTGACCGTGGCCTGTCAGTTTAATCTGCTCTATCCTGTGACTTGATGGAGACTAGAGTGGATGTTGTACAGAGAGACAAACAGTTGAAAAAACAAACCGTGTCTTGAGAGATGTCACGTCTTCCCGATGTATTTTTGCAGCAACTGTTTCTTCCTGAAACTCAATGCATTGTTATATTTATTCAATTAGCTACTAAATAAAGAATGACTCACAGACACAACGGCAAACAAGAGTAACATAAAGAAGTAACACAATAAATATGGATTAATCTTCAAGAAACAAAATTCAAAATTCAATTACAGATGTATGTTGAATGCGTAGCACTAATGCATGATCATTGGATTCCAGACTCTTTACTAATGGCCCCATGTTGTGATGGCACCGCTTCACTGAATATTGGACATAAAATAAATATAGCAGTGTCAATATTACTCCCTGGCATCATTCCTGAGGAGGTTATGCTTGGATCATTGTCCTATTGGGAGGTTCGATGATGTCCAAGTTTCAGTTACCTTACAGACAGCGTGATGGATACAGAAAAAGGGAAGCCCGGCAGTTCACACAATGTACAAGCACTTAGTGTCAGTGGAGGGAGGAAAGACTGGAAGAAATCTTTGACAGGACCCAAGTCTGAGAGGTGCAACTGTCTTGTCCATCTGTCTTGGCCAGTTGGGGTGAAGGAAGAAAATTGTGAAAGAGATAGAGATAGAAATCATAGTCCGGGAGTAAAGATTCAATGAGAAATATGACAGTGCTACAGAGAAGTTGCTACAAAGTTCTGAAAGAAGTGTTAGTATGTTTTTGTATTGTCTTGATAATTCAGATGATTCAGGTGCAACATCACAAAAATCTGCTTTAGTGCACCTGACAATGCTGGTGATGCAATGAACTGGAACAGGTGGGTTAGAAGAGAAAAGAAAAGTGTATAGTAGTCGAATGCTACAGCACATGGTCAGTTAAAGTCATTTACATACTGTATGTCACTGGTCTTCCATGTTCCTTATGTAAAGAGTTGTGTATTTAAATGCACAGTGTCTTTTTTATACCAAGGCCCTGGAATTTTGTGTGTGTGTGTATTGCACAGCCAACCTTTTGACACAGCCACTTTTCTTCCATGCTACACACAAACTAAAATACAATGGCAACACATTTTATTCAGCCGTTGCAGCTTGTTGCCATTCTGTTGTCAGTGAGATAGGTCAAAGCTGTGGATGCAGAATAACCGTGCTAATAAATAGGGAAACAAACATGAAGGAACTTGGCTTGGGTTAAATCAATAGGGTTGGAAGAGGGTGGAGATTAACAAGAACATGGAAGAGTGTAAGGAAAAAATATAAGGAGAGATAGGAAAAGTGAGAGAGAGAGAGAGCTGTGACTAATCAAGTGAGATGTCAGCTGAATGGAGGAGGACAACAACAAAGTGGAAGAACTTTTTCCCCTTGAGGAAACAAATGTCTATGAACACAGTAAGGGGCTGGCAGTTGTAGTCTGGATGCAGTGTCCCCCACCGGCCTACAAACAAGAACTGGAGGGGGAGTAAAAAAAAAACAAACAAAAAAAAACAAAACATGAAGGTTGCAGTGTATTGATTCAGCTGCTGTGCTCATGTGTCTATTTTTGCTTTCTATAGATTACAGAGGCAAATAATAACATGAAACTAGTTACTACTATTCACCGAGAGATGGTTGTTCTGTAGTGAATGGATTAACATGTATGTTTCTGTCAAATTTAAATTGGGTCAGAAAATAACTAGTGGTGATCAAGACATAGGTCACCACCAATGACCAATCAGAGAAAGTCCATGCATATACAAACACCTATCATCCTTCATCATTTTCATGTGATGTTCCAACTTCTTTTTCAATTATGGTATGCCATTTCTGTTTTCCATTCCAGAGCTTCAGATGAACAAGCTACACATAAAACCAACAGAGCGAGAAGGGTGTTATTTCTGCAGTGCTCAAAGCCATGGCGTAAATTCAATTGAGGCAAAATTCAGTTTGAGCCCTAAAAACAAAAATATAGGGTTTATTAAATGAAAATGGGAGGAAAACTGAGAGTGGAAAAGCTCTGTCTATTGCATTAGGACTGGATCTGCAATGGCTGGTGTAATAATGCAAGGGAGGCCCCGGGTCAGATTACAACTGAATGGTAAAAGGGTTAGTACAGTAAATAAAGGGCACCCAAGGAGAGAAAGACAACAGCAGTGAGGGGTCAAACAAAAAGAACATTAGAGACAGTGGAAACTGCATGACTGGGGAGAAGAGAGGGAAACAGTTGAGATTTAATGCTTTAGCTCACGTGTTTACAAGGCTAAAATTCATCTTGACCTCTTCAGTGGTCACATGACCTCCCTGCCATTAAAGAGAAAATTGCACTTTAAATTCTCAGGTCTGTCAATTAAACAGTGCAGACCAACTTAGAGTTACTGCTGGATTGGATACTGCAGTATATTGTATTGTAGTATCCAGACTAACTTAAAAACCTAAACATGAAAAGTCACATTTTTCTAAAGATTACAATAAAAATTCCTGCTACAAATATTTCACAAATAATCTTCTGTAACGCATGTTGTTTTTTTTCTACTTGATATTTTAATGTCATCATTGCATGGTTTGAATTTAACTACAGTACTGCTAGTTATAACATAATTTTAGACAAACCCATTAACCCAGCCCATTAAAAAAGTCTCACTGAAAAGTCAACCTCTAAAGCCTTTCAAACGTCAAACGTTTTTCTTAACCTAAAAGGTGTATGTGCTGAACATTTAAATATTTTAGTATATTATACTGTATATTCTGCATCATCAATAAAAGTACTTTAAAATACTTTGACAATGGGGTCAATAAGATTCTTTTGTGGACTGTACAGTAAAACACAGTATTAGGTGAGGTATGTACTGACCATTTATCCTAATGTTGACATGAGAAATGATAAACGATGGACAGATCAATGAGCTGAAATGATGACTGCAGTAACATAACGACGTAAGATCTGTGGATTAAGACACCTGATGTTGTTCCTTTTAGACCTAAAAAGACATTGTCATAATCACTCTACATAAGGGATCAATGCAGACCACTTCAAAACAATTTCCCTGCATTGGTGTGATTATATTTCACCTCTCTCCCTGTGAGGAGGCTTTTAAGAAAAAGAAGAAAAAAAAACTTTCTTTGCCAAGGAGAAATATTGTGTCATGGTTTAGAAACAAGATACACGCAGTAGAAGAAAAATCGGCTCCAGGTTAAGGTAATTCACTGAAATAAATGTATTAAATATTTAAAGTATTGACACTGAGGTTTTGTCAGAGGCGACTGTCGTCTCATTAAATGAACTAGACCTTGAAAGCACAAAGTGGCTCCAATGCTGATGTGATTCCAGCCCCAATGATTCAACTCTTGAAAGTGACTCCAGTTTCTCAAATAAAATCCAGAGGCCCAGCCCTGCAGCCTTGGTGTCTGCGCCCTGACTGCCCTCTTGCAGTGTGAGTGTTTCAGTGGCACTCCCTCAGTGTCCTTGCGTCCACTGGGGCACAAAACACACTCAT